CCCCAAAACCCCAAAACCCCAAAACCCCAAAACCCCTTGACAGAGCTGCTGCTTGAAATCTGTATATTCTTAATTCATCTTCCTTCGTGAAGTCATCACAAGGCTATCAGGTACTTTCGTTGAATACCCTTTGGTGAGCAGCAGTAATGGCTTTGACTTCTTGGGGCTTTTCTGCGAGAAAAGTCCCATTTTGGCAAAATAAGGGCTCACTCTTGGGTGAGAGGATTTGTACGAACTTTGATTACTTTCTTTAGGGTCAACAGTGACTTTACGATTATTTTGTAGTTCTGATATGGTTATAGGGTCGGAAGAGATTTCTTGCAGGTTTTCAATGAACACTGACTTCTGGTGTCTTCTAGAGATAAACAGAAGGGCTCTACTTATGCTCCTGTACTTTGTCTTTTAGAGCATCAACAGAGTCTTGCTCTCTTCTGAGTTTAGTATCCATGCTTCTTTCTTTATACTTCTGCAGCCTCTCTTTAGACTATAAAGATAAATAGACGAATTTTACATTGTCTTTGGTCTTCAAACTAGCCCTAGTTGAATTGATTCTTTGTTGAAGGATCTTCTTCAAAGGAGAGTTTTCAACCTTATCTATCCTCTCTGCTATGTCTGACCGCCTGGAGACATGGCTGGGAGACCCTTTGTACATGTTCTTAAATCAGGTTTGGGAAATCTTATTTTCTAAGAAATTTCAGAGATAAATGTACCAGCTTTAGTTTTCTCATCACATTGTCTCGAGCAGTTAAGTGGGTCGTGCTTTCGGTCTAGATTGATGAAAAAGAAGGCTACTTGAGAAATTTCTCCATTTATTTGGATATAATCTTGTTTCTCAGGTTTCTTCTGTATCTCTTTCTCATTTCTGGCCTAAATGGATGATTTTGAGGGTATACTTCTTTGATATTTCTTGTATGCTGAACCTAATAGAACTTCTTCTAGAGTTTAGTTGATGATTCTTACTTTATTTCACTATGATCAGCTATCTCAGATTCTTCGATGAAGCTACTTTCTTCTTCTCTGGGGCGAAGGATGGGGCAGGTGGGCTGAGGTACGACTGATAAGAGCTTAGTTGTCATATTGAGTCCTTTATCAGTATTTTTCCTTGTAGTACGATTGGAAGGCATGGCAACGCCAAAGATTCTCTTTCCTCTGTGATTATCAAGGTTTTTCCTATGTCATCAGAAGGCTAATCATACAAATGAGGTTCCACAGAAGTGAATACCTTGGTATAAGTGCTTTCTAGAGTTAAATAAGCCTACTTACTCCTCCTTTGGTCGACTGCAATTTCTTTCTTAAGTACGAATGGGAGGTCTTTCCATTCACGAAGTTTATTTTTGAATTTATTTAGCATATCCAACATATTTATTAAGGTCGCCTTCATTGCTATGAGATGTTAAGGAGTACTCAAAAGTTATCCTACTTGATAATAGCTTGTGCCAGTAAAGTCCACCCGAAATCATTATAATTCTCGTAATTTGGTGGAGGAATATCTAGTTCGTTCTGAATCATGAAAAAATTGTCAGATCTATACCAAAGCTTTTAGCTATCAGCACTGAGCGAATGTTCTCAACAGGGAAGAAAATTGTGCGTACTGGTATTTCATCATCTCTTGGACTTTTTCTCGTGGAATTGAGAATGAGCTATCCTTGCTATATAAATAATGATTTTGAATGGAATTAAACTCTTACAGGTATTTCTTCTCCCATGCTTTGTCAGTCATTCTATAACAAAATATCAAAGTTTGAATGCTAATCTCTCCAGTGTGGAGCCATGCAGCCGTGGCATGGCACCACCTAGGTAGAGCACAGAGTCCATTTCGTACATGTTTGCTGTAATATATTCAACAAATAAAATATTCTCAAATATTTCAATAAGTTAATTTTATTACGGGGTTTTGGGGTTTTGGGGTTTTGGGGTTTTGGGG